ATGAGGGTACGGTGCTGGGTTTTGTTTTTTTTCTTTGTTCTTTTAATTATAAAATATATGATAAGTAAATAAAAAAGAAACTAATAAGGGTAAAAAAGTCATTTTAGGTCAAACGGGGACTAAATATGCAACAAAAAAAACAATAGGGACCTTCCGAGTTAAAAAAACTTTTTAGGGATCAACCATGCAGATTACCCCAAACCACAGGGACCATTCGTGTAATTTACCCTAATAATAATAAAAAAAACACATAAACGCCCCACCTAAGTCATCGTCCCGAGTCCACACCCCTCTCACTCTCTTGATCTTCCTTCTTCTTTACTGTCTTGCTAAACCTAACCTCCACCGTCGGCCTTGCCTTCGACGATGACAACAACCCACCTCTCACCGCCTAATCTTCCAATTTCTCACCTCCACCTCCCACCATCTCTCCCTTAAACCCAACATTATCTATTCTTATATGGAGATCGGTTTCACCAGCTCTTTCTAGTAATCTGGTCGTCATCGTCCACAAATGAAATGCACCCCTTCATCGCCACCACGGAGAAGGGCGATGATGTCGTAGCGGAGATCGGAGTTTGGGTTTGCACTTATTTTTTCAGATCTTTTCACCACAGTAGGAATGAGCGACAACGAATTCTAGGGGGAATTCGATAACTATGGTTGTCGCTGCCTGCCTTCTCTGTCACCACCTACATCACCTGCCTTGGTCTTCCTTTCCGTTTCCACCTCCATCTACCTGGATATTGTTGTAATGACGATTGTCATCCTCCATCAATGATTGGCAAAAAAGCTTGAAGTCAACATACATAGACCTACAAATCCATGGCCAAAACTCTTGAAATCGACACCCACACTGATTTAGGAAAGATAGAAAATAAGGTTTGTAGTGATTCAGTTGGAATGGAGGTAGACATGGGTGGTGGTTGAGTAGGTGTTCTTCATTTTTCTTTTGCAAACCCTAACTCCGATATGCAAACTCTGGCTTTGGCGGTGACTCTGTTTAGCAAACCATAGCTCCGACAAAGGGCGACATAAATACTACTTGTTGCTTGGTTTCGTTGTTTAGATTCGATCATCGGAAGGAGGTGCTAGTGGAATTAATCTACAGGAAGAGAAAGAGTTTGTAGAAGGGCTCGTATAGAGAGAGGGAGGGGTGGCCCTTTTTTTATTTTTATTTAATTAAAAACAATAAAATAAATACAAAATAAATAAAAAACAAATATAAAGGGTATGATGGTCTTTTCATGTTGATAGGGACGAAAATCACTAAAAATATCCAGTTTTGGACCATTGGTGCACCACTAAAACTTTTTTGGACCAAAATCACAGAATTTTGCCAACCACAGGGACCATTTTTGCAATTTTGTCTATAATTATCTCTAATTCCCTCCCAGATTCTTTGATTGAAGAAGCAACCACCGGTGGTGGATTTCCCGGTGAGCCAAGAGGCTGCCACCTCGGTCCCAACCAGGGGCGTAGTATGTATGGGGCCAGGAGGGGCAATGGCCCCCCCTGATTTTTTGGGATAGAAGTAGGAATTGTAGTTCAAAAAAATTTAGTTATAGGCCTGTTATCTTCAAACTTGGGCTTTGGCCCCTCCTGATTCCTAATCAGACATGTCCAATAGTCCAAATTCTCCAAGCGATACCAAGAAATCAGAATCGGTTCATCCCCATTTGCCCAATTCGCCATTCGCTGCCTATCTCGCCTGGACGCCTGCTGTCATTGTGTTGCTGTCTCCGTGTCTCGCTAGTCGCTTGTGCGATTGTGCCTTGTGTCGCTGTCTCGCCAAATCGTTGGTCTCACTCTCGCCATCGCCATTCGCCAAGTGCCCTAGTCGCCATTCACAAATCACAGAAATCAGGTATGGATAATGGAATCCCGTCATCCCGAGACCCGAATCATGCTCTTTCTTTTCTGATTATTGATTGTTGGTGTTGCACTGTTGCTGCTATTTTCTGTTGCCTGCGTTACTGAGTTTCTTTTTTAACTTGGCTGTCATTTGCGATTTGCCAATTTGATTTATGAGTTGAGTTGTGAACTTATGATTTGTCAGTTTAGCTCTTCTAGTCTTCTTTCACTTTTGATTTAATGTAAGCTCTAGGACACCAATTCACCAAACAGGAATAGAAAAAAATTGACTTGGTTAATGGTTATGTTATGCACTTATGCAGTTATGCTGATTTTTGATTTGGTTATTGATTTTCAGTTTTGATTTCTGATTTTTGATTTGGTTATTGATTTGGTTATGCTTCACAGCTTCAAACAAAACTGAAAACAAAGATTGATTTGGTTATTGTTAAATGAGTTATTGGTTATTGTTCTAAATTTGATTTTGAATTTTTGATTGAATCAATTGTTTCTTCATTTTGAATTTTCTAGATATAATCATGGGAAAGATGAAAACCTTAGATTATTTTTTCAAAAGAAAGGTAGATGATAAAGAAACTAATCATGAAAGTGAAGAGAGTAAACGTCACAAAGCTTCAGCAAGTGAGCCACAACCGCAAGAAACGGAAAATCAACAAGAGATTGAGCCACAACCGCAAGGAAAGGAAAATCTACAAGAGAATGAGCCACTACCACAAGAAAAGGGAAATCCTAATGAAGTTGATTTGAAGAATCTAGAAAGAGATCCCGCTAAACGCAAGCAAATGTGGGATTATCCGGTTAATTTAAGGGAGCAAGTGAGACGAGCTTATATGAATTTAGGACCTTTCCAAATACGTCTTAAGGAGTATCAAGCTAAAGGTTCAACGAAACATCCTCGTAGATTCCAATATTCTCGGTTCAACATTTTCCCTAATTGGCTAGAGTATTCTCCAACAACACACGCTTCTTATTGTTTTATTTGTTATATATTTAATGATAAACCAAGTGTGTGTCATGGTTACGATGCATTTACTGTTAAAGGATTTGATAATTGGAAAAAAGTTAATGACGGAAAAAATTGTGCATTCTTAAAACATATTGGTTGCTTACAACATAGAAATGCTGTTGCATTTGCTGAAAACTTGATGAACCAAACAGCACACATTGAAAATATCATAGTGAAGCAAAATAAAGCGTAAATATTGAAAAACCGTTTACGATTAAAAGTTTCAATTGACACGGTTCGTTGGTTGACCTTCCAAGCTTGTGCTTTACGAGGACATGATGAAAGTCCTAATTCCAAAAATCGTGGTAATTTTCTCCAACTACTAAAACTTCTAGCATCTTATAATGATGAAGTTGCAAACGTTATATTAGAGAAAGCTCCTTATAATTCAAAGTATACTTCTGGGGAAATTCAAAAAGAAATTCTTAGTATTATTGCAAATAAAGTTCGAAAGCATATTCGTAGTGAAGTGGGGGATTCATACTTTTGTGTCATGGTTGATGAGTCACGGGATGAGTCTAAAAAAGAGCAAATGGCGATAGTTTTGAGATTTGTTGATGCAGAAGGAATCATACGGGAAAGGTTCTTGGATTTGGTTCACGTTAGGGATACCTTATCATTAACCTTGAAAACAAATATGTGGAGATAACTTTTACACTATCAATTTGATGTTAGTAAAATCCGTGGCCAAGGTTATGATGGTGCTAGTAATATGAGAGGGGAATGGAATGGATTACAAGCACTTGTTCTTAAGGATTGCCCTTATGCATATTATGTTCACTGCTTTGCTCACAGATTGCAACTAGCCTTGGTGGCTGCTTCAAGGGAAATTATTCCGGTACACCAATTTTTCACAAACTTAATTTTTACAATTAACGTAGTTTGTGCTTCCAGTAAGCGTCATGATGACTTACAAAAGGCAAAGGCAACTGAGATTGAACAATTATTGGAACTATGTGAAATCGAATCAGGGAAGGGATTGAATCAAGTTGGGACATTAAGAAGAGCTGGTGATACACGCTGAGGTTCTCATTTTCGTTCCGTTTGCAGTTTAATTGACATGTTTGCTTGTACTCGTGTTGTTCTCCAAGGAATAATTGATGACGTATCTGCTACTTATTCTCAACGCGGAGATGCTGATGCAGCTTACTGTTATCTAAAATCATTTGAGTTTGTGTTTATTCTTCACCTGATAAAGGAAGTAATGGGAAAGACTGATATACTTTCTCAAGCTCTACAAAAGAAATCCCAAGATATTCTTAATGCTATGGAGTTAGTTTCAGCAACAAAGGAGGGTCTAAATGATTTCAGAAACAAAGGATGGGAGTCTTTACTTGCACAAGTAAAGTTTTTTTTTGTGAAAAACATGAAATAAATATGCCAGATATGAATGCTCCTTATACTTCTACTCGATATCGGCCTCGAAAAACAGATAATCATGTTACTTTTGAACATTTTTATCGAGTGGATTTGTTTACAGCCACATTGGACAAACAGCTACATGAGTTGAATAGTAGATTCAATGATCAGGCGATGGAGTTGTTAAGTCTTAGTTCTACTTTAGTTTCTAAAGTGATTAACGTTGCTCAAATTTGTCTTCTTGTTGAGAAGTATTATCCTGAAGATTTTACGGAGCAAGAGAGGATTCAATTACGGTATCAATCGGAGATTTTTAATATTGATATGACAAAGAATCCAAGGCTAAGTGGTGTATCAACTATTGCTGACCTTTGCAAGCGTCTTGTGGAGACTCAGAAACGCGAGACATATTATTTGCTTGATAGAGTGGTTAGGTTAATCTTGACACTTCCAGTATCTACCGCAACAACAGAGAGGGGATTTTCAGCAATGAAAATATTCAAGAATCGCCTTCGCAATAAGATGTCGGATGATTTTCTCGCAAACAACTTGGTGATTTACATAGAAAGAGAAATTGCTGAAAACATTGATTCGAAGTCTGTAATTGATGAATTTAAAGACATTAAAGGTCGTTGGACTGAGTTGTAATTCTTTTTCTAGGTGTTTTTGGTGTTTATTTGTTGAAAACAACTTTTTTTTTTTTTTTTTTTTTTTTTTTTGTTTAAGAATGTTAATTTTAGTTTATAATATTTTCCGCCCCCAAGTTGATTGTGCAAGCTCCGCCACTGGTACTCCCAACCCTCATCCTCTTCCCTTTCTGCTCATCAATCCCTGCCAAACACCCTGCGCTTTGTCAAATGACTTCACCCTAAATACTCCTTCCTCCCATGGCAGACATACCTGCAGTTCTTGGTGGTACAACCGGCGACAGAGGACTGATCAACCAAGGGGAGCTGCCGGAGCAACCCCCTTTCCTTTCTTGGTTTTTGCTCGTCTATTACAGTAGCCCAAGCACCCCTGCAGTTGCGATCTGCTAAACCCCACCCGACCACCTCATTTGCTGATTTCGTTCGTACCTCTCCTTCCCGATCAGACAGTGATTGAACCCACGAGGGCCACCGGAGGTCGATGCCTGCCCATCCTCACGAATCACTCAGCTACACCGGAGTTCCCCATCGACTGCCTTCGTGTTTTTCGTTCCTGATCAGTTGAGGAGACGAAGACGAAGAGGTCGCCGTAGATCGAACCCACTACCCTCCTCTCCGATTATGGTTTTCCCACAGCTCCGATTTATCTGCCACTGCCCCGCCGATACTCCCAAATCGACTACTTCGTTCACCTGTTTCCTTGGTCGGTCTGATCAATTGATGAGGACGAAGACTGTTGTTGTCCTGTCGGCTAGATTGCCGCCGAAGATCGATTTCTTTTCCCTTCTCACGATTTCATGAACCACCGCCGATGCCATCGTGTTCCTGAGGCCGATTCGTGTTCTTCCCCAATCAGACGAAGAAGACGCACAGCACCATTTTGTCATTTATTAAATCTGGCAAAACAAGTCCCTCCAGTATGGCCTTAATTTTTAACATCAGCCCCTGAATGGAAAACCTTACAAAACAAGTCTCATGTGATAATTAAATTACAAAATAATTTTTTTATGAAAATATAAAGTATTTCAAAACAAGTCCCTTTGATTTAAAATATTATAAAATTTGTATTGGGCCTTGTTTTAACTCAAAAAGACGTCAAGATGCGGTTATTCACGAAAAGCTTCAACGAATTAACCGACTGCAGATCGAGATCACACATCGAATGTGAGTTTCTATAGCCCCTCTTTTACAGGTTTAATATTTTGAGAAGAATATATGCGTGTTTAATTAAGTTTTGATGATTTACAAATTTTTATACGTTAAAATAGCATCATATTTTATATTTGGTCGAAAGTTTATGAATTAGTAATCTAAAATTGTATAAATCATATAAGTTAAAGTAGAATGCTATAAATGATATAAATACACCTTGTTGTGATATATTAATTAATATTAATAAAAATCACAAGATCATATGTAGATTGCTATAATAACACGAGTTGGTATTGTAAATCACAAAAATGACGATTTCGTATGTATAAATTAAAGTATTTCATGGAAGTATGAAAAGAAATAAAAATGACCCAAGATATTATTCGCGTATAAAATGAAAGTACATTGTCATAAATTGTGGAAAGACTAAGTTTATGAAATTATTTAATTATTAGTTAAAACTATCAAATTTAACTTTTAATATATAAGGTTGTGTAAAAATGAATGAAAAATGTATTAATATAGTTTTATATTTATTATAAAAAATATAACTCAATTTACTAAGTTATGGATTATTATTGCAATAAATGACATAATCGACCTTAATAATTAAGAGTCGTCATTTGCGAAATGTTATATTGTATTAATCTCGTGAATTATAAAGTTTATGCGAATTGTTGGTTTCACGTTGGTTGAAACCTGGAAAATATTATATGAGCAACCGTTATGCCGCCCAAATTTCGTCATAACAGACAATACGAAATTTGGAAATCCATTAAGTCTTACGAATCTCAAATACTAAAAGACTTCAATCAGATATTATTCCTAAACAACAAAATTATAAATAATCAACAACCTTATAACGGGAAGTTTAGGATTAGGATGCATAGACATATTGTTAGGATTCATCATACCCACGGGGCATTCTATATGAGCTACGTTTGTTTCTAAAAGCTTTATGAGTTAGGATCATTTCCTAAGTTGCATGAGCTATGTTTGTAACCACACTAAGACCGTACATCTTAGCAGAAAGTCCTCTGTGTCATAACCGTTAATTCGTATAGAACGGGGAACGTCGAGTATAAGTTCTGGATCACATACTTATACGGGTTAACATCCCACCATCGGTAGCTAGCTACAACCATCGGCTGACGAGTCGAGCAGGGGCGTTGGCGTTTCCTTCGCTAATTTTTTTCATAACGTCATAAAAAACGTGGTGTGGGCTTTCAACACAACCTTTCACTGTTGGTGCAGAGGCGTTCGTCACAGTTCGGTTATGACCTCATTTTAGACCCCGAATGTACTGTTGTTACCGTATAGGATTGAAATAGGATAGTATACGGAGATTTTTATCCACTTATACTAGTTGATAGAGACTGTATGTAGTGGAATAGCTTGTGACTCAAAACGATAAGTGTCAATACCAGAAATTATGTCATATAATACTTAATTAATATCATGATATGACTGAACAAGGTTTATTAACTTACAACTAATAAGTTATTTATATAACCCCTTTGTTTTTACACGAAAACACAATATTTATGTGGGGGGAGTTTGCCCCACTGGTTAAGTGTCAGTTTCCAAATTAAGTAAGATAATACTTAATTAATACTACGACACGAATTTTCAAAGTTTATAAATTTGAAACTTATGAGTTTTACATATAAACTATACAAACGTTTGTACAAGATTTCTATAGTAAAGTTGGTCATTTTATGTTTTCACAAGATGCAATATGACTTTATTTTATATAAATTGGCATTCAAAATTCTTACATAAAAAGCATTTTGGTCATGAGAACCGTATAATTTTTTTATATAAGTTTGACTTACTTATGTGTATTTTACCAATTTTGTACTTTTGGATTTGAACGCATGATGTTTCCAAAATTAGACCAAATACATTATTATAACTCGATTACTTTATACTTGGATAGAAAGACACACATTTACAAAAGCTGGTCAACCAGAGAACTTTTACAAAAAAAAAATTTGTTATAAAAATACTTCGTGTCAAAACCTGTAGAACTTACTAACATTTTTGTTGACATATTTTAATTCATGTATTCTCAGGTTATTTAGCAGGTCGGAACTGTTCGCTCAGAAGACTTTCCATTATTTTACTACACCTTTGTAAACTCCGGATTGTTAGGCGTGTGTCACGATTTAGTAATAGTCATTGTCAATATAATTTCTATTTCGGTAATAATAGAAGATTATATTTGTATTGTTCAATGTATGTTCAATAACTGGGATTACTGATTTACGTCGTGCACCTCGGCGTTTCCGCCGGCGACCGGGGGTGTGACAGGAATCAATATATGTTTATTAACAGAAGAAAGTAAATATAACATTTATAAGTATATGTTACTGGTATATTCACATGTGATTATTAATGGTATATTCATATATGAATATTATTGGTACATTCACATGTCAATATTACATGGTATATTTACATGTGAATATAACTTTTATATAGTATTCATATGTGAATATATCTCCATACGTGAATATATCATATAAACAAAACATGCAATGTAAGATTCACATGTGAATACCAAATAAACTGAACATAATATTCATATATGAATACAACTTCATACATGAATACAATATAAAGAGAATATATCATGTAATATTCGCATATGTTTATACTTTGTTAACAAAAAATATCATGTAACATTCACTTGTGATTAAACCATATAAAGAAAATACACAATCACATGTGAATCAAAATATATATGTTTATTAAGAGGAGAAAGTAAATAAGAAATGTTATGTATTATTCACATGTAAATAAAATATAAATATTATAACAACACTGTATGAAACACTTCATCAAACACTTGATGTGCATTCAAGTTAAGTTCAATAATTTTGGAAAACATGAAGAGCTGAAAATTAAAAATATAAATCAAACAAATCACATCAAAATTGGTGACAACCCACTAGATTGAGATCAAATTTAAAAAAAAAAACTATCTAAATTGTAGTGCATAAAATTTTAGTTAAAAATAATAGAAAAACTTAAAGAAGTAAACACAACAGATACAAATCAAACGAAATACAATCAAAATTGATGACAAACCAATAAATTGAGATAAAAAACTATTAAAAACAATAATAAAAAAGAAATCGATGAAAAAATCGAACAAATTATCAAACCTGGATAGCTTGAACATTGATTTCTATTTGATATGAAGATATGATGGTTTTTGATGTTGAATCAATGCTTTTGGATGAAGAATCAACGATTTTTGATAAAAAGTCGATGATTTTATATGAGGAACATTGATTTCTATTTGATATGAAGATATGATGGTTTTTAATGTTGAATCAATGCTTTCAGATGAAGAGTCAATGATTTTTGATAAAAAGTCGATGATTTTATATGAGGAATCAGTGATATTTCAAATAAGAATGAAAAGATTTTGATGAAGAATAAGAGATGTAAATATATGTTGCTTCGTGAATGTATATGTGATGTTAATGATGAATATATATATATATATATATATATATATATATATATATATATATATATATAATATATAATATCAAAACGGAGTGAGTTTTTTTCGAAAAAAAATATTTTTTATATATCAATATGAATCTCTATAGAAATCAAACCTGGATAGCTTGAACGTTGATTTCTATTTGATATGAAGAATTGATGGTTTTTAATGTTGAATCAATGCTTTTAGATGAAGAGTCAATGATTTTTGATAAAAAGTCGATGATTTTATATGAGGAATCAGTGATATTTCAAATAAGAATGAAAAGATTTTGATGAAGAATAAGAGATGTAAATATATGTTGCTTCGTGAATGTATATGTGATGTAAATGATGAATATATATATATATATATATATATATATATATATATATATATATATATATATATATAGATATCGAAATAGTTATTAGGATAATATTGTTAATTTTCAAAATTTGAATTGAAATAGATTTGTTACCAAAAAACAGAAAATGATAAATATCATAGAAACGTGTCATGTGTCAAAGAGGGATGGTAGAAAACGTACATATGACATTTTTAAGTTTCATTTATTAGAATATATATATATATATATATATATATATATATATATATATATATCTTACTATATTATTATACAAACCTTAGTATTTCCTAAAATAGATTTAAGACGTCCAACTGTTTAAGTTAATAATACAACAAACCATTAAGTACAAGTGTAAAATTAATATTGAAACATTCAAACCTACATCCTTATCTTACCCAATATAGAGGATTTAAATTTTTAAAAAAAATTGTACTTTTTGACTAGAATGAGTCAACATAACTTTTGAAATTTAAATATAAAATTCCTCACGTGGCCCGGATATCATTATCATCCGGTTGCTTTTCTGTGGAATATATCGAAGGCCAAAGAGGTGACATTCGTATCCTCAATTTTTAGCAAATACTCATTAAAACCAGAACAATAAATACGGATGGAATAAAGGGGATTTGTTACTTCACCTATAGATGATTTAGGTATTTAATCATCACCTTCATCAACCATCGTCCCAACAATCAAAACCATATCCATCAGCAGTCAAGGAAACCACCACTACTCTCCTCCTTCTATCTTCCCTAACCGCAACCTTCACACCATACACCACTCCCCTATTTACCGTCGGACAAGTTACCACCTCACACCACTCCCCCTCATTCTGTCATTAACCATAACGCATAACACCATTCACACTCAAACATCACCCTCACCACCACTCACCACTCACACTCAACATCACCCTCACCACCACTCACACTAAACATCCTCATCACATCTCACTCCCAAGAAAAAGACCCTGATTGAATGGCAGGTGGCTAAAAATAGTTAATTCGGTTTCAAAAAAGATTAAAATTGGCCAATTTTAGTCTAAACTTCCGTACCATCTTTATCCCATATAAATTTTATTGTTACGTGGTTCATTGGATTAATTCCTAACTATAGGTGTTGTCACTGAGAACTCTATCTATCTCTCACTCTCGATGCATCTATACTCCTCTCTGTTTGCTATGAGTTAATGCCTTCTGGATACTGGTTCCTTTTATTTAGTTTAAACTGAAAGATGGAATTTTTGAAGGTGTTTTCCAATGTATTTTATCTTAGGTACCATTCCAAGGGATTTTACAATCCCAGACCAGCCACCAGCTCAAGTTGTATGTGATATATGGGAGTGAATCCTAACTATATGTATCTCATCTGCATGCATTATATCTATAATATATTATATAGATTTTGAATTTGTAGACAATTTGGTTGTTATACAGATCTAGGGTTTGTTTTTATGACTATTTCAAGATCTTTCTGGTCATTCCTTTGCTAATATTTCTTGAGTATTTAATGATTTTTTTAGTTTTATTTATGATGATTTATGATCCCTGCATTGCGCTTCCTTTTACGCTAAGTATATGGCCTTAAAAGTGTTAGGTATTATGATTTGGACTCTAACATCTGAGGCAAATGTTCTGGTTTTGAAAGTGCTTGGCTTTAGTTCTAATACTCATTTTATTGTATGTGTATGAAGAAGATCTAGGATGTGGGTCAAAAAAACATATCCAAACTATATGTCGTGGATACTAATAGAGGAAAAGGCTGGATGTTGGATTTTTAGCTTTAGATGTTCCACATTATCTATTTTGTACTATATATGTTGCATCAATATGATTTTAAACATGGAGTGAGTTAATTTCTGTTTTGATTTTTATGATGTTGCACTTCCTAAAGTATAGGAAGATGGTATACTTACTTGGATGGGGTAAATGTAATAAGATCTTGCTCCACGCTGGTTGTTGCATATCTCTGGCTATTGTATAATCATTTATGATTACGCATACATTGCTACTGTCGGTACACTGGAACGTTAGAGCGACAAATGAGAAATGTATGGCTCAGGTTGAATCTCAAGATCTCTACTTTTTTTTAATTCAAGTGAACCGTCACCTATATATATATATATATATATATATATATATATATATATATATATATATATATATATATATATATATATATATATATATATATATATATATAAGCGTTAATCTAGATCGACGGGTTTTTCGAGTTTTTATTTATTTATTTATTTATTTTTACCAAAATGATGTTCTTTAGGGAAAATATCATTTTAGCCCTACAAACTTTTCACGTTTTTTTTTTTTTTTTTTTTAACTTCCCTAATGTTTTCTTTTGTAGTATAAGGAATTAATGTCCTTTTCACCTGTTACTTAAGTCATTTAACGTGGTATAACATGTTTTAATGTTATTGTAGACTCCACAAATCCACATCATCTCCTCTAACATGATGTCATAAGAACATGAGATCGCCACTGTTAATCGAAACATAGATAAGCACCAAAATCAGGGGTAAGATGGGAAAATAACCACCATAAATATCGCAGAGATAAGACTAGTTTATGTTCAACATCATTTTGAATAAACAATTTCTATTCCACATTCATTTTATGATTCAAATGCTTTATTTTGCTCCAGTCTTACATTGAATCACTTCCGGCATGGAAGCCCACTGCCACCACGGCGATGACAATCCCAAATTCAACCTCGATTACTGATTTTGAGCTAAAACCAGATCAACAAAACTCAAATCATCATCAATTAATTCATTTCGAGCAACACCCAAATGATAATATTGTTGATAATCAAATGGGTAATTCACGCTTTGTCACACCCCCAAACCGAGACGGCGAAAACGTTCGGGGATGGAGGACGTCATGTTCAAGTATCACAACAATTGTATAATAGTAATCAAAGCAACCACAACCATTGAATTAATAATATAGTGTTTACATTGAATTTGAATCATACATGATTGACTCCAAAAGTAAATAGCAAAATAAAGACTTGAAGCTACTATGGTCCGCCTTCTGGAAACCCTGTACGTGTACCTGTCTACTAGTGACCTGAGAATACAAGTGGTTTTGAAAAGTGTCAACATTAAAGTTGGTGAGTTCATAAGCATTTGTATTTGGAAAGTATGTTCTTTGAAAACCTTGGTTTGTTCCTCCAGAAAATCCTATATCTTATGATGTAAAGAAATGAAAGTTTTGTTGAATCACACATGTAAAAGCGTTGAATTACAGTTATGTTTGTATGCAAACCTTTTTGAATGTATGCCCTGGTTAAACGTACTTATGGAAAAGTATGTTTTGTACTAAAAAGTAGTAAATTGTACTTGTATTTAGTGATCTTGGTTGTACTTGTACTTAGATTGTAAATTATATCGGTATACATGGTACTAGAAAATAGTGAAGTCCAGTAGTGCCAATAGTAGCGTTTATACTGTAGTAGTGTCTGTAGTATCCACAGTGTCTACAATAGTGCCTGGAATCCACCAGATGTAGTGTAAAATAGTGTACTGTAGTTTGATTAATTATCAAAACGTTTGTATGAAATCCTTTTCCCAATACGTAAACGTATTGTACTAGTAGTGTAGAGAGATTTAATATTAATATAAAATCTTTGAAGTAGTGTTAATCTCGTAAACCTTGTTTATACTATTGTGAGTTTCATATAACAATACTAATATGACATAGTGGCCTCTACGACGTTCTTCAGGTGTCGGTATTTATGACATTTGTCACACCCCATGCATGTCTGTCTAACTGTAGCTAGCAGTTTGGATGTGGGATTGTCAGTCCCGTATAGATCTATACACAAATCTCACGCTCTCCATCCAGGAGACTCTGGTTATAATTTATAGGACTTAAACCTGTACCCTGGTGGGTACCCGAAGTAGTGCCTCACAACCCTGTATTAACTGATTTTACATATAGTGTTATAATGTTCTCTTGTATTAGTAATCGTTTGTATTATCCCGTAGTAGTGCACTTAGTAATATAAAATAATTATACTTAAATAATTATTTTAGTAGTGTGTACTTGTAGTAGTGATCTAGAGTAGTATTCCATAAACTATACCTATTATAGTTTAAATGTATGTTCTGTATGTATTGAAAGTACTTGTAGCTAAACAGTTTGTATAACTCTATGAAACGATAAGAAAGGTACCCTTTTTGCTCAACATGTTACAAAAGGGTTAAAGAGTTGTGTAAATAAAGTTTGTATTTATATATGTATAAAAAATATGCATATAACCCTGTACTTTGAAATAAAAGTATAAAATGTTTGAAGTAGTTTGAAAACACTTCTTAAAATAATTTAAATTAGTTGAAACGACTTGATGTACTTTTAAAACTGTTTGAAATCTTTTGTATGTTAACACAAAATTACTTTGTGTTTTACTTGCATTCCCCCCTTAAAAACGTTTAAAAATAGTGAAAATGTAGGGGTACGAACTCACCTCTAGTGCATATTCGTGTTTGGATAACGTAGCGGTAATGAAACAGATGTGATGATCATCGGGCTAGCGTACGTGCGAATAACGTTATCCTAAAATAATTAAACACGTAATGGTATTTAAATTAGTGAAACCATTAGTTAAAGTGTTAGCAAACACCTGCTTTTGTGTTAGGAATAGTTACCAAGAGTGTTGGAAATGAAGGGAGGGTTTTCGGTTCCAAGGGGTTTGCGGCCGAACACGGGGTTTACGGCCGAACACAGGTTTACAGCCGTAAACGGGTTCCCGATTTAGGGAGTTCTCGGTTGCTTGAAGATTTGAAGATGTTTTTTGGTGTTCTTGGTGAAAATATGAAGATTTGAAGGTTTGTTCTTGAAGATATGAATGCTCTTGGGAGGTTCTTGGGGGTAACTTGAGAGAGTTTTCGGGTGAAGAAGGTGAGAAATGAAAAATCTCTCCAGGAAAAACCTTTATATCGGTTGAGTTGCGGCCGGAAATGGGTCCCGTTTACGGCCCTGGGGTCTACGGCCCAGGGGTTTACGACCGTAAATGCGTGGCTGGACGAGTTTGCTGATTTTTCGAGGGAAATCTTGATTTTTCGAGCGTTTTTGGTTCCGAATAATTATATAAATTTTATTTAACGGAACTAAATAAAATTCGAAATTTCATTTAAGAAGGTTGACTTTTATTGACTGGAAAAATATCGGGTTGTCACACGCTTCTTGCCTCTGGCTCGTGATTCAGACTCTTAGACTCTTAGCTTGTCTGATACAATCAAGTCATTTTCCTGATGAGTGCTTCATCAAATCCAGAAAATAATACGTCTTCACATATGTAATTTTTATCAAAGCTTTCCTCCGTCGGATTTGCTTTCAAGAACCAAAAGTCGAAGTCAAGATCTGAGGCTTTCTCTTAAATCATTCCAAGATCCGATTCTCTAGAACCACCACCAACAAAAGGAACAAGGTAATACCATCACCACCAACAAAAGGAACAAGGTAATAATAACAACATTATATTCTTTAACGGGTCTGGTTGGTTCGACAACCAGTTCGGTGGGTTTCAAAGAGTGGTGGGTGGGGTGGCGTTGGAGGCGAAAAACGTTTCCGCCATATTTGTCTTTGGTTCGCATCCATCGCCGTCGACACCTTTTTCTACAACCCTTGTTCGGTCTTCGATGTCCGGATTGCCTCCGATTTAGGTAGGTCTTTCGGGTTTTGTATTCCAACACGAATTCAAGGTGAAGAGGAGGAACACAACTACATCTCCAATAAGCATCCTCTGGTTCTTGCCATTGATTAACCTTCATCCTCCATAATCCTCTCAAACATGTAAAAAAAATATTGTGGCACTTATAGTGAAAGGGTAACCGGATTACACCTTCACTTTTCCGATAAGGACGATTTTAAACCATAAATATCGAGTTTAAGTTCTTAGACAAAAAAATATATATTATGTACGTTTTAAATCAAACTTAAAAAGTTTGTGAGGCTAAAATAATTTTTTTTACTAGATTTAAACTTATTTACCAAGTAATTTGTCAATTTACTCTCAAAAATCACGGTACTTTTAACCCAACTCAGCAAAAAGCACTGTGCCCTTCTCTAAAAATCACGTCCAACGCGACTTCATTCATCTCCCACTACACCGACGCCGACGAGTCAACCTCCAGCCACACCGACGCCGGTGAGTCCTCTTCAGCCACACTGATGCCGGCGCTTCACCTCCGGCCACAGGGTTCGATTTTTGACTTTTCAGGTTCGATTTTTCAAGTTTTATCTTCGATTCCGACTTGATTAGGTTTATTGAATACCAAAATTTTGAACTTTCATCTTCAATCTATCTGAATACGGGTTTCTGATTATAACGGATTTCTGTATACAAAATTCTAATCAGGTTTGTTCCTTGATCTTTTAACTTCGTTTTCTTTGCTTGGATCATGAGAATGTGCCTTTGAATGACCTTCTGAAATCGAAGAACGACCTTGGAATACTTCTTATTGCTAAGTTTTGCATCGTTTTTTTTTCTTTCTGAAATTGACATCGTTTTTTTTTGCTGAAATTGGCATTGTTTTTTTTTGCTTGGCTCATGGGAATGTTCCTTCCATACGAAAAGAAAATCAAACAGGGGGTGTTTTAAATTTAGTTTGGTTCATGTATTGTTGAAACGGTTTCACAGCTGAGGATTTGGATTAGTAGTGGAATGGAATCACTCCAGAGTCTATTATGGTGCTTTTGTTTTAGTGAGGCTGTTGATATCAAAAGAAGAAGAAGATGGAATCACATGTCACTATTTGTCCTTTGTTTCTGGAAATTCATATGGATTTTGAACTTTTTAGATAAACAATCTACTGGCTGTAACTTGTATGAGTGATAATAGAAGAAGAAGAAGAAGAAGAAGAAGAAGATGAAATCTAGCTAGCATTCAGAGTTAGAATAAAAGAAACAGCAGCATAACTGTGCTTGACCAGAACTCGTTGCAAATTATGCATAATTGTGATTATGCGTGTTGTATGCCTTTATGTAATGAGATAAAAAAACATGGTAGAATGGTGGTTATACTGTAATAGGACAATGCATCCATTGAGATGAAATTCTTGTAACTTGTATGTTTATATTGTATACTGTATAGGCATTTACGCATGATAACAAATGGAGTTTCCAAGATCTAATAATCTTCAAGTAGTTTCTGTGGGGAATGATGATGATGATCCAGAAATTTTGGTTTCCAAATTCGATTCTTCAGTTGACAATCACTTTCAAGCCATGGATAAAATTGCTAATCTCTCTGGAGAATCAGAGTTCCAATATCCACAAATTCAACGTTTCTCTTCTTCCATTACTTTCTTAAGGTCTGATTAAAAGTTTTAAGTATTTGTAAAGTGATTTTGTCAATTTTTTTACCAAACTATATATCTTTTAATCTACAGAGAATGGAGAAATTTCTGTTATCAACCTCGAGCTATTAAGTTTGCTTGTGAAAGCAATGAGAAAAACGTCACACCTCAAATCAAGTTGCCTCAGTTTTCTTCAGCACTTGTTCCTAAGGTACATATAACACAAAAGTTTCATTTTTAAAGTATGTATTTTAGTAGAGCTTAAAATCTTGACACTAATACAGGACACTTCAGATGGAAACAAAGATTTTGTTATGCATGTTGGAGGCCATGTTTGGGCTTTAGATTGGTGTCCCATACTTCACCAAAATTCCAACACTGACATTAACGTTGAGGTACTTATTGTTGATCATTATTATGTTTTAGAATAAATAAACATAATCTTATTTATTATTTTGTTAAAATTAAAATTGCATTCTAGTTTATTGCTGTTGCTGCTCATCCACCAGAGTCTTCATATCATAAAATTGGTGCTCCACTTACTGGAAGAGGTCTTATTCAAATATGGTGTTTGTTGAATGCATATACAAAAGAACAAGATATGATTCCTTTGGTCAAAGTCAAACCAAAAAGGAATGAAGAAACAAATCTTGAAACCAATCAACCAAAGAAGCCAAGAGGGAGACCAAGAAAGAAAGCTTCTGAAACTGTTCCTGTTTCTAATACTGACTCATATCCACAGCCTCTTGCTATTGAATTCCCTCAACACTCAAAAAAGTTGGTTGATATTGACAAAATTACCCCTGAAACTGTCCCTCAACAGTCACCAAAGTTGCTTGCTATTGAGAATCATCATCATCATCATCATCATCATCATCATCATACCCCTGAAAGTGTTTCAAATAGTAACTCAGTTTCTAAAGATATTGCTTTGCCTAGACTTGTGATGGGATTGGCTCACAATGGAAAAGTTGCATGGGATGTGAAATGGAGACCCGATTCTCATGATATTTCTAGTTACAGAATGGGGTTCCTTGCTATTTTGCTTGGGAATGGAGCTCTTGAAGTGTATGCTTTATTTTTATATATTAATTAATTAATATGCTATTATAAGTTTTATAATTTTTTTTAAATTTTTTGATACTTTTGGTATTATAGGTGGGAGGTACCTGTTCTTAGTGCAACTAAGGCTTTATTTTCTTCTTGTCAAAAGGAAGGTACTGATCCTCGCTTCCTTAAGTTGAAGCCAGTTTTCATGTGTTCAAAGTTGAAGTGTGGAGATAGACAAAGGTTAATTGTTAATACCTACCTCTTAATGAGAGTAAAGCACTTTGTATTATTAGTAAAAAAAAAATGTAAATATATTATTCTCTTATACAGTATTCCCTTAACATTGGAGTGGTCAACATCTGCCCCTCATGATCTCATTCTAGCTGGTTGTCATGATGGAGTGGTAAATTCAAATTCAACACTCACCCTACATTTTTTTGCTCCTCATTTTATATATTTACAATCTCCTTTTTTATTCAAAGTATAATTCATAATTTCATACCATTCTCTATATGTTCAGGTTGCCCTGTGGAAGTTCTCTACTAATGATCCATCCATAGGTACTTTGTTATATTTTAACTTTCTATTTTCTAAATTCTAGCATATTCTTTTTTTTAAAATTAAATTTTTTTTTTGTTTACAGATACCAAACCATTGCTTTGCTTCAGTGCAGATACTGTTCCTATAAGAGCACTTAAATGGGCACCACTGCCCAGGTCAGTATAAACTGTATAATCATGTTATTTTTATTTAAAAAAAATGCACCAAGTTAGTGTATAAATATTTGCTCATTAAAACTATTGTTAATATATGTAGTGATCCTGAGAGTGCAAACATAATCGCTACTTCCGGACATAAAGGTGTTAGATTTTGGGACATTCGGTAAGTATATTCAAAATCTTCAATGCAAATTTTCAATATTATATTATATATAATAATGTTTAATTTTTTTTTTCAGTGATCCATATCACCCTCTTTGGGATATACCTCTTCAGAAGATTACATACAGTTTGGATTGGCATCCAGACCCAAGGTATCCATATCACTATCATACTAACCAGTAACCACACTTTCTATTTTTCATTCTTTTAAAAATTACACTTGCTATTTTACTATTTATCATTGCTTGTAGATGTGTCATTTTATCATCCGATGATGGAGAAATAAAGATAATTAACTTATCAAAAGCTGTATCTGACACCCCTGTTACTGGTACACCAACCGTAAAAACTCAACACCATGGATCACATAGTTATTACTGTTCATCATCTTCAATTTGGTGTGTTCATGTCTCAAGACTAACAGACATGGTTGCATATTGCTGTTCAGATGGCAAAGTTATTCATTTTCAGGTGTGTATAAAATATATTATATAATATTAAATTAATAAATGAAAATACGTTTTAGTAAATCCTAAAATGACACTAACTTTACTTGCACATGATCAGCTTACAACAAAATCAGTGGAAAGAGACCCTAACAGAAACCGAGAACCTCATTATCTCTGTGGTTCTGTAACCAAGGAAGAAGAAAAGTCAACACTTACTGTGTTGACCCCTTCACCAAATATCCCATTCCCAATGAAGAAATCATCAAACGAATGGGGGGATACACCAAGATCAAAACGTGGGTTTGTATCAATATCGAATCAAGAAAAAAGAGCCAAAGAGTATATCTCAAAGGAAAATCCAAAAAACAAAAACAAAAGTAGCCAAGCATTAGTATGCATTGATGACGTGGCCAACAATGTAAAAGACCATATGGCCCACAAAGAGGAGGATGAGAGAGAAACACTTCCTCCCAAGATCGTTGCAATGCATCGTGTTAGATGGAACATGAACAAAGGTAGCGAGAGATGGCTCTGCTACGGGGGCGCTGCAGGAATTTTACGTTGTCAAGAAATTAATTTATTGGGAAATAAAAAGGGAAAAAGAAAAACGTTACATGATTTATCTTTATCTACTATCTAGACTTCTAGAGTCTAAGTCTAATGATAGAATAATATTGTAATGTTATTTATTTTAAATGAATGAAAAAATGATATCTCATATCTTACATGCAAACTGGACACCTTCAGTAGCAAGTGAGTCAGGAGTAGGGGCTGTAGGTTGCTTTTTTGCAACGTTACTAATTGCTTTATTCTCTTCTGGGGTACCACCTTCTAGAAACGCGTCCACCACTTTACCATCATCCTTAATCCAATATGTTCCAAACTTAGGTTTCTCAGAAGCTGGATCACGGTTACCATAAATAACAGCTTCACCAACGTTGTCTCCAAAAAACTGCCATGATAGATCAAATGAACGCGAGTAGAATATGGTAAATACTCATACGCCCCAATCTCCTTTCCTTGCTCCTTTGCAAAAATAGCCAAAGAATTGATAAAAACAAAATGACAAAATGTAATAATACAAGTGTTGCTGACGTGTCAATTGATACAAACAAAATGTAATAAAAGTATTATCACCTTAACAGCTTGTTCTGCGGATTTGCGGGAATGGTCAACATGTTCAACTCTTCTGATATCTCCATACATTTTCATGGGAAAAGTAGCAACATCACCTATCGCGTATACATTATCAACACTAGTTTTGAAGAATGCATCAGTCTGGAAAACAAAGAATATGGCTTTTACTTTTTGCAGAAATATGTCACATCTGATATATATAAAAAAAAAAAAAAATACCTTGATTCCACCTTTATCCTCTTCGAGTTGTCCTGTGAATAGATTAATTAGAGGCTTTGCTCCAACACCAACAACCACAATATCTGCTTCCATTACCCGATCATTTTTTAGTTTCACTTCTTTTACTTCTCCTTTTTCATTACTTACAAATCCAGCAGCAGCTGTTCCTTTGATGATATTCACTCCTTTTTTTTTGTATAATACACCTCGTAGAAAGCCGCCAGGTCAGCAGTGAATAAACGAGGCACTGTAAATGATAACATTTGTCAATTGTCATCATCAATAAAAATGTATATATTTGCATGTAGTTTCCAATTATTAGAAAGATGTAAAATTATTCTAGAAAGAATAGCATTTCAACTTACTACACCATGGATCGGGATAGACCATGCTAACATCAAAGTTGTTTATTTTTAAAGCTGCACTAAGCTCAAGCCCAATGTATCCTCCACCAACAACAAGAGCTTTTCCATTTTTCTTAATTTTGATTGCTTCCACAAGTTTATCAGCATCTGCAATTTCTCTCAAGTAAAAGATGTTCTTGGCATCAGCTCCTTGTATACCAAAGTTCTCCAGTCTGAAAACCTAACAAGAAACTTTTATAAATGTAGAGCCAAACTTTTTGTTAAATAGTAATAAAAGGATTCAGAGGTTACTGTGGAGCCAGTGGCAATGATCAAAACTTCATATTTGAAGGTGTCACCAGCTGCACTTTTGAGAGTTTTTGAAGGTAGATCTGCTTTGATTATCTCTGTGCTAAGGATCAAAGTTATGCCCTTTTCTTTATACCACTCAGGTGCTAGTCTTTCTCCTCCACTACCAACACAGACATGAAACCCTGGAAGCCTTGCAGTTCCTGAAGAATATAATATGATAAGAAATTAACAAAAACTTATTATATCATAACAAAAAAAATCAAATTCATGATTAACACAGAAACTAACTGGAAATTAGCCAAATAGGTTACCTTCTGGGAACAGATATACCTTGCTTAATGCAGGGCGTTCATAAGGAGCCACCTAGAAAATTGAAGTGTGTAGGTTAGCAACTTAGCATCAGAGTATAAATAGTTTAATATAGCTAATTTGGTTACTTAAATTTGATGAGAAAAGGAGAAACGACATTTTGCTTGTAACTCAAGCAACTATATGAGTAAAAGAGTTGGACAAATTGAAAAGCATACCGCCTCTTTAGAGATGATTGCTAGTTCGTTAGCCTTTACTCCTTGCTTTTCAAACTCTCTGGCAGCATAGCCCTGTACGTATGCCAAACAATTTTGAACTAAATCAATACAATTAGTTATTGATTTGTATTAACGAGAGCTTGAAATTGAAAACCTATGATATTGTTGAACGATTAATGCCAATATTATTACATTTGAAGGTCATCAGATCACTAGGAAAGTGTATTCGTTGGGAAAACGAAGATGTCGTGTGAGCCCTAAAGTGAGATTTTATCTGATTTTGGATCGATGAAATTGTATAATCAAACAAAACAATCAAGGAACACTTGAATATGTATTAATCGTATTGAACCGAGATAGCAATTCGATGACATAAACAACATTACGATTTGGAAATGTCAAAAATTAAGATCCATGTTATGTTCGCCTATACAATCTGATAAACAACTCTGGAAATCACTCGATCAGAAAATGCTATAATCGTAACATTACGTGCAATTGAGGAGCCATAGCATTGTAAATGAATAAAACAGAAAGGGAAATGTTCTTAGATTGATTAATACTCACAGCTGATACACCACCGCCGACGATGATGTATTTGAAAGACTTCTCCGCCATTAGTGATGATGCACTTCCTTCCTATCAATGATCGAGTGAATGATAAATAGAGCGAGGCAGCGAGTGTATGTGTGTGAAAATTATGAAGGCATCTTTGGACAAAGGCATATATTGATATATACAAGGGTGTCCGAGTATTATGCTGCATGATCAAACGGAAACACGTAACCACTACTTTCAGTTTAGACGTGCTTCAAATAATTACATTATTACGTATTACTATTTTAGTAATTTAATTTTTGCAATTATATTTAATCGACTAAATTAACTAAAAGCGTTTTGGCTTTTAAGGTTTAATGAAATATTGAAATTTACATCCAGTTTGGTTTTTGTTACATAACTTAGATTGTCGATTATATTTTATTTTGTTTCATTTGGTTGCGAGTTCAAATTACTACATCATTAAGGTCTAAGAAACAGGATCATTAAGGTGTAAGAAATAGGATGATAAATATTTAAAATCAACAATTCTACTTTTTTGTTCTTTTTTATTTTGTCATTTCCTACAATTTATCTAGATCTTTTAATCTAGAATTATATTATTAAGAGTAAATAACATGAATCGTTCCCGTGTGGGTGCTAAAAAACACGTTCAGTATCATATTTTTAAAAACAAACTTGGACCATATTCGTTTGGTTAAAAGTTGCACATGTCATCCTTTGTTAATTTAAATTTGCATGTTTCATCTTTGCAAGTAGGGCTGTAAACGAACTGAACGTTCGGCGAACTATTCGTGAACCGTTTGGCGGGAAATTCGTTTATGTTCGTTTATTTAATACATGAACGAATATGAACACAAATTATCGTTCGTTTGGTTAAACGAACGAACATGAACAGTTGTCTCATTCGTTTAATTATGTTCGTGAACGTTCGTTTATGTTGTTCGTTTACGTTCATTTATGTTCATTCATTTAAGTTTCTTTTATGTTCATATATGTTCAATTGTGTTTGATTATAGTACTGTATTATATGTTCGTTTATGTTCATATATGTTTATTTATCTATGTTCGTTTGTTTATGTTCATTTAACATGTTCACGAACATAAACGAACAAACATGAACAATGTAATTTTTTAAATGAACGAACATCAACAAGAAAACTTGTTCGTTTATTCGTTCGTGTTCGTTCATTTGTTTGGCTAACTTAAATGAACGAACATGAACAAGTCATTGTTTGTGTTTGTTCGGTTTGTTTACAGCCCTACTTGGAAGATATGAAATGACGATTCTATCATTTTTATTCTTTTTTTGTTTTATTTTATTTTTCTTACAATTATTCATAACATACAAAATAAAATAAAAAAACCTCACCCACCCATCTTATCCTAACCCTTCCCTTCTAAACCTTCTTTCCCACTAAATTCTTTGACATAGGACCATCAACACCGTCGACAACCATTAACCACCACCTCTTTTTCTCTCAGAAACACCATCGACGACCCATTATTCCCTCGTTCTTCATCCCAGTGGTCCTTAAGCCAACAACGAACCATTCTATCTCCACCTTGCATCATCACCATTCCACCATAAACGAACACAAACCCTTATTTTCCATGAGTCATCCTTCATCCATAAAAAATATCACACAACCACCGACATCACTAAAGCCATCTCCCAAAACCTATACCAAAATCACCATTCTCCATATCTAAACCATAAAAAAACGGAGACCTTCATCCTCACCCATAATTCATTACCACCTTAACCACCCTTATACCCATCCACCAACAACCATCGTCAACACCTACACATACCTACCATCAGCACCTTTTCTTGTAATCACCTCCAACCACAACCTTAACCATCGCAACCCTACCTAGCCAACACCTTTATGCAAATCAATGATCACACAAACAAAAAAATGAAAAAGAAAATCTCATGTTCATCGATTTCTTACCCCCTAACCTCCAATCCTTTGTCTTCTTCACTTCACTAAGATAAACAACGCATAAATTAGATATGGGTGTTTCATTATTGATCTATAGCAAAGCAGAAACGGGAATGTGAGGGGTGTGTTCGATTGAGAGCGAGATACTTGGGTGATTACTCGATTAAAGAAAGAAAAGAAGGAGAGGTTGCAATTATTTTCTTGTTGGTGGTTGTCAATTGAAGCGAGAACAATAAGAAGGAAACACATATGGTGATCTATTAGAGGGAGAAGAAGAAGACAATATTTGTGTTGAGACTTGTTGTAGGGATAAACATGCACACGACCTGATCATTTTCTTATTTTGGATTGTTTGGTCTCGCCATAGAGTTAGGGTTTTCGGTGGTTATTAGGAGTGGGTGAGAAAAAGGGAGACGAAAGGAAACTAGAGAAAGGGAAGGGAGAGGGGTGGGTTTGTGGATATATATATAATATATATATATAATATATATATATATATATATATATATATATATATATATATATATGTGTGTGTGTGTGTGTGTGTGTGTGTGTGTGTGATCTATTAGAGGGAGAAGAAGAAGACGGTATTTGTGTTGAGACTTGTTGTAGGGATAAACATGCACACGACCTGATCATTTTCTTATTTTGGATTGTTTGGTCTCGCCATAGAGTTAGGGTTTTCGGTGGTTATTGGGAGTGGGTGAGAAAAAGGGAGACAAAAGGAAACTAGAGAAAGGGAAGGGAGAGGGGTGGGTTTGTGGATATATATATATATATATTTTAAACTTAAAACGATAAACAAATAAAAGAAAAATAAAAAGAATTTATTAAGGGGAAAATATTCTTTTTATGTCAGGAGGAGGGATGAAGTGTGCAAGTTTTTTACAAACAAAAGATGGTCCGAGTTAATTTTTTTAAAATAGGAACTCAACATGTTTTTTGGAACCTGCACGAGAGACGATTCGTGTAATTTACACTATTATAACTAATGGGATGGCTCGCGATTAATTAATCATATTTTATACATAATATTTTGTAATGATTTCTTACGTTGGGTCCATTTCGGTAATTTGCTTTGAAACACGTGGACTATATTGGTAAATTCGCTAATAGACAAGGACCTATTTTGTACTTTTTTTTGGACCATTTTGGTTATTTCCCTATTAGGCGGGGACTATTTCTCTATATGGATGAGCATGAGATGGAACCGATACCAAATCAAGAATCTTGAATACCATAATGGGTGGAAGAAACAATACCGTGTACAAATTGAACTAACATTACCGATACCAGTACCAATTTTCGGTACTAGCATCGATCCGATGGCAAGAGTATCGAGTATTGTCCCATATGTTTGAATTAGGTAGTGGTTACGGTATGATACCGGTACGAGATCAGAATTTGGTACTAACTATGCATCCCTATTTCTCTATAATGTTGTGAAACATATGAACCATTTCTATAATTTTTTGAATCTTAAGAACCATTTATGCACTTTTCTAAAACAAAGGGACAATTTCTATAAATTTTCTATTAAGCAATAACCAATTCTAAAATCTAGTAGACACATAAGAACTATTTCTTTTAATTTGCTATGAGGTAAGGACGATATTTGTAATTTTATAAGACATATGGACCATTTATGCAATACTTCTATTAAGCATGGATCACTTATACAATTATAAACGTTTTCCTAAATCTGCCTCATAGTTAGTTATATTTTTATAATTAAAATATATCAAAAATAAAAACAAAAATCAACTCACATGTTAAAAATACAAACCGAAAAACAACCACACAAATCACCACCCATCTTTTATCCCTAGTTCGGACCATCTTTGGCAAAGAATGAATGAACTTACTTGGTGTTGGTAACTTTGATGAAGACGGTGTAATTTTGATTATTTTCACTTCCCATAAAAGATGCTTCATTGAGTTCTTGATAGATAAATAATTAAACACATGATCATTGTGTTATAAGGAAAACTAGAATCTAAAGGCAAACACTGATCCATAACCCTCCCCTACATTTCTTCCAAATACGTGTTTAATGCTCATTATAGCATCTTATGAGTAAGTTATACAACACCACATATTCAAGTTATTGATAAATGACATATCCATCATCATGTTTTGGTATGGGATATAATTTGTACCAACATGAAATAAATATTTACAAGATAGTTTGAAGGCCAAAATTGTTAGGTTAATTTTCCACATTCTCTCACTTGTGCTGAAACATCCCAAAAATACAGTCCAAAAATTTCATTTTTAAATCATTAATAAAACCATAAATATCAAAAGTTATAAATCATGTATCTTAAGAATCTCATAACATCTATTAATATATCAAAATCATATGTCAAAACATCAGAGTGAATCCTCCTAGGCTAAAAGTTGTGGTGTGTGTCATGCAGTCATCCGGACCTCTTCCCCTTACTAGCGGAAGTACCTGAAACCAAAACTGAAAACTGTAAGCACGAAGCTTAGTGAGTCTCCCCAAACTACCACATACCATACACATAATCACATAATCGCATATAACATACATTGGTCCCCGCCTTGCTACATCGGGCGCTGGCCGGCATCGGCTTGTCCGGCATCGGGCCCTGCTTGGCATCAGACCGCATCTGGCATCGGGTCTCGCCCGACATCGAGCAAAGCTCGGCATACATATGAGCATAACTACTAGTACACATAACATAAGCATAACCACTTAACTATAGACATATACACATTCCTCGGGCCCCGCCCGACATCGGACCGAAATCTGGAAACATACAAACATTCCTCGGGAACCGCCCCGACATCGGACCGTAGTCGAGAATCATACAAACACATACACATACAAGAATCACAAAGACATCAAGCATACTGACATTCTTCGGGTACCGTCCCGGCATCAGATCGAAATTCGGAAAAACATATAAACCTACATCGGGCCCCGCCCGACATCGGACCTTAATCCGGAACATACTATCATACATAAACAAGCCGGCCTTGGTGCCTTCGACCCGTTCCTACTGGAGGAAAACTCACCTCATAAGCTAGCTGTGAAGTCTTGCGTGAGAAATCTCTGACAGCTACTCTAACGACTCCCCGACTATCAGTATCACAATAACACTTAGTCAAAATCTGATAATCCTTCTTAAGGTAAAATGACCGTTTTACTCCTATTCAAAGTCA